CGTGATTATAGAGAAGTGTGCTAATTATAGAGGTCAAATTTATTATATTTAACAATAGATAGTTTTTTAAAAAACAAACTTATAAAGAAAATGTGCTTATATAGGAGGTGACTATAGAGAGGTTTGACTGTATTAATTTTGTAGTATATGTTATTAATTTTTAAAAATTAATACAGTCAGACCTCTCTAAATGCATCCCTCCTAAATGCATAATCTCTTTAAATGCATATTATTTATCTGGCCTATTAACAGGCTTAATAAATAAATATATATTCTTTATTCTGCAAATGTATACTATTTTTCTGGCCGACCTATACGTATAAATCCCTCTATAAATGCACATCACGTGACTATTTGCCAATCAAATCAAGATTATATAATCTTATACGAGATAATTTTAACACGTGACTTATATACACTATAATTCTATTAGTGTTCTCTAAATACATCCCTTTCTAAATGCATACCTCAGAGCTGGTCCCAACAATATGCACTTAGAGAGGTCTGACTGTAAATTTATTTTAGTCTTTAAGTGTCGTGCACTGTAGTTACTTATTTTTGGAATTGTAAAAAATTTAAAAAAGATCTAGTATCAAGAAATACCTTAAATAATTCTGTAATTAAACAATTTTGAGTAAATTTAAGTGATCTACAAAATTGAAACACAAAATTTTCAACTTGAAGTTCATTTTGTGAATCTTTTCATTATATAATTAGCTTTTGTGACATATATCTAACTTTTTTTAGTGAATGTATCTATTCAAAAATCAAATAAAAAAATTTTTCGAAAGAATGTAAAATGTACTGTTTCTATTGACAACACTCCATATGTCTTTTCGCGTTAAAAGTATCTGATTGGCTCGCTTATGCAAGCATACAACATATGAATGCTGCCAAGGGAAAACCGGGTTTGGGGCTTTCGAGTTTATAATAACGGGCTCAGCTTCCAAAAGATCTGATTGGTATGTAATTAAATTTAATTTAATCTTACATCATACTTTTCAAGTACAGATTCGTTAAATTATAATCTTGAAAGCCTAAAGCTTGGTTTTCTCTTAGCTGCAAAACTTTGAAAACCATCATCAGGAAAATCGAAGTGTAAATCTACAAAAATCAGCAAAAATGCAGATTTTTGAGAGTTTTTTTTTATAAAAAACTGCAAAATTTTTCATAATTTGAAATTTTGTATTTAATTCATGTGGCTATTGCTGCTGTGTCTGAAATTTTACACAGATTTTCATATAATTTATTATTTAATTTTTTGTAAATCTGCTCTAAAAAAATTTTTCTGATGATATCGATTAATAATTAATTTAAAAAATTTATGCATAAGAGTCAACTTCACATGTCAAAGACTATAAAAAAATAAAAGATCATTTTAATTATTCGCTTCATTTTTTTTATTTACTTTTTGCTGACTCTTTTTTTTTTTTGTTGACTCATCTAATTATTATAAGTAAATCCAAACTCTAGCTAGAATCTTTATTTAAATAGTGCATATTCAATGTAATCTACCTTTAAAATTTTATCGCGATGAATATTGATAAAATGACAATGATGAGCATGGTTGGTAATAATATGGGTTTACGCATGGGAATAGTAACGCAGTAGGGTTATTTTTTTGATTAGTCTAGGGTATTTAACGTTAAGATTTTTTTAGTCACATAAGGAAAAGTCATCTTTCTTTATTTATCGCTCGCTTTATAGTGAAGGCTGGCTCTTTCATTCCGCCCATATCCTGTTTCCAGATGGTACAAAAACAGGGATCGTCTAAAAATGCAAAAACGGTAGTCTGAACTCATCTTGGCCCTTTAAAAAAAAAGCTTGTTTAGTTTTTGTTTAATTTTTGTCTGTATCATTCTATAAATGTTCGGAATGGCCCACTATAGATATAAAAACAAGACAAAGTCTACGCATTTTTTTTAAATTAAAACATCAGATTTTGTCCTGTCATTATATCTAGAGTGGCCTATTCCGAATATTTGTTGAATGTTTGTAACAACAATTAAACAAATACCAAACAAACTTATTTTATAGAGTGGGCGTATTAATTAAAAATGTCGGAAGACAATTTTACTTATATAAAAACACCTTACATGTTAAAGTGACCCTAAATTAATGGGTTAGTGGTGTTAAATTATTGGTTAGAATATGCTCAGCGGCTGCAGTGGCAGCGAAAAGACCTTTTGTTTTTACCCCATGGCTGCAGTGGCGGTGCAAGAACCTTTATTTTCAGCTTCGCGCAGTGGCAGTACAAGAATTGTTATATGATGCTTAGAATTTATAGCACTATATAAACGATTCTTTTTAATTAGCTTTTTGGCCGAAGTTAAAATTTTAATACTTAAAAGAAAATATATCCAAATTTTACCGAATTTCTTTAATATAAACAAATTTTTTAAATAAACCAAATAATTTTTACGGGTCCCTGCCTTGTCCCCTTAAACGTATGATACTGTAGGATAGTGAAATAGAGATTATTTGCCACATTATTTGCTTTAAAGCAGTAGATATTTTAGTGAACCTACGGATAGCGAACAAAAATTATGCTATTATTGGTTTATTTACGGTATAATGTGACGGGTAAAAGTGGACCTCTCCCGGATAGGATAATATCATCATTTGTTATCATTTGTTATTGAGTAGATATATGCCCTACCTCGCACATAAGTGTCGTTATCAACCTTACCAAAGTTACGTCCTTTAAATGATTTTCAAAGGGAGGCTTAAACATGACTCACCTTTATTTTGGATGGCCAATAACCCTCAGCCGAACAAGCCTCATGTGCTATCCAAGCCTTAGAGTATTGTTTGGAAGTTTGTTTGTTGTATTCTTTAGAATGTCATTTTACCCGTAACAATAACTAGAAATTATGTGTGGAAATTTTTAAAACGGATTATTGTGAGAAAACGAAGCAACAGTATGGATTAGAATTAGTGTTTACGATGGCTTTTAAAAGCCAACCAAACAAACGTAAATTATGCAAAAAACAATTAACTTACTAAGTGAGGATTATGATGTATTTTAAAATTCAGAATTTAAATTAACCCTTTCTTCATTCATGAAATTATAATTATAAAAATGGCATCTACTTCTATCCCAATTGAAGAGTATAATAGCGAACAAAAAGATTTTCCTCTACACAATAGAGAGCAAGTAACAATGATAGTGTGTTCACCCAATTTTAAATATATTGCGACACGGAGTGACATGAATACATCGGCAGTTTTTTTTGGAGTATTCCTGATAATTTTGATAATCAACAGCAATTGAAACCTAAATATAAGATTTTATTAGAAAATTATAAAAATTATAATATAAAGTTTATTCGAATAGTGACACCAGTGACGATAAACCTTTTGGTGATATTAAAAATTATTTTACCGTTTCTGATGATAAATTTGCTGCGATGCCAATTAAGAGAGTTGAAGTTGAAATTGATGAAATTGAGAGAGTTAAAAGTGAAGTTGTTTCAAAAACTGAAGAGCAATATTATTTTAAGACTGAAAAAAAATGTTTTAAGAGTTCAAATAGGTAAGTTTTCGTTTTATATTGAACATTATAATAATATATAGTTATTTGTTAATAATTGATATATATATATTGTGATTATTAATCTTAAAATATTAATTTTATCCGTTAATACAACTGTTTTAAGGAATTTTCAATTTTGTAAACGAAGAAGGCCTTTCTTTAAATCTTCCTCATTCTGAAATTATGGTTGAATCCCTTGCTTTTTTAGATAGAAATGATTTAATTATGATCAGTAAAGAACCATTGTGTAGGATATATATTTTCACTCATGAAAAACACAAATTTATTCACAAATCAACGATTAAAGTGTAATCATCATATAATGAAAAAATTTTCTTATTTAATGAAAAATTGTTTATATATGATGAAAATTTAGGAAGTATTGCTAAATGGGATATTGACACCTTAGAATTTGAAGAATGCTTTTTATTTTATAATAGTTTTGACGTTGATAATACAGTATAACCTCGATATAATGAAGCTCTGTAGCTGGAGGTTTTCTTTGTTATATCAAAACTTTATTAATAGTTTCGTTATATCAGGGATAATTTAAACATAAAAATTAGAAATAATCTTCGTTATCGTTATATCGAGGTTCGTTATATCGAGGTTATACTGTATGAAACTGAGTGATAATGGAGTACTGTTATTTGTATATGGGACAAAACGTGTGGATAATTTACATAAAGATCCTTATGCATATATTCTGCTGGTCATGGAAATAAGGTTGCAACATGTAAGTTTTTAGAAAAAATAAATATTATTAATTTAATTAATTTTTATTATCATATCCTTTTTGACATCAATTTTGTACAAAAGAACACTTAATTTCGTACAAAATAACATTCAAAATTCGTATAAAGTGACATTCGATTTCGTACAAAATGATATTTAAATTCAAAAGGTGACATTCAAATCTGTACAAAATGACAATTAAAATAAGTTTGATTAAATCTCGATATTTCGTGATATAGTAATCCAATGTAGATGATTTTGGTACTATTCAAATCCTCTCAATGAGACGATTCGAATGGTATCAAAATCACCTATATTGGATTACTACATCACGAGATATCGCGATTTAATCAAACTTATTTAATTGTCATTTTGTACAGATTTTAATGTCACTTTGTACGAATTTAAATATCATTTTGTACGAAATCGAATGTCACTTTGTACGAATTTGAATGTTATTTTGTACGAAATTAAATGTTCTTTGTACGAAATTGATGTCAAAAGGGATAAGATACATATGATAAATCATGTATTATCGATACAGTCTATTTGATTGCTTCTGATATTGGAGCGCGACTTCTTACAGTTTACTACAAGAAAACTACTTTATAGAAACCTTAAATATCTTAATATGCAGTAACTGCATAGTAGCAACGTAGTAATTACATAGTTACTATTAAATTTAATCGTAACTACTTAGTTTCCATGCAGTTACTGCGCATTAAGAGATTTAAGTTTCTGTATAGTACCAATAACATTATTCTATATGTGATCCATTCGCTTCATATATTCCAGGTGTAAGTTATGTAAATGCTAATTATCTATTCAAGGATTTCGTGATAAAAATTTTGAATATAACCATATTATAAAATCTGATAAAATTGTGGGCTTTAATACGAATGGAACTTTAGTAATTAAAAAATTAATACCTGATAAATCTGATACTTGGATCTCCTATTTAAGAGAAATATTGAATGATTCCAACAGTATTTTCATGTCATCAGATAGTGAAAAAATCAAAAATTTAATTAGACGTGCAGATGACAAAAGTAAAGAAACAACTGACAAGACAGTTATTGATAAAAGTAAAAAAATAGTTGGCAAGTCGACTAAGGATATTGGTAAAAGTGAAGAAAAAACTGCTGAAGTTGAAAAGACATATTCAAAATATTTTATAACTTGGACTTTAAAGTATGAAAATAATAAAAAATATATTATACTTACGGCAAAATTTAAAAAAGATAATAAAAAAGACGACGAAACTAAATCAGATAGTATACAGATTGTTCCAGAATTATATATTAAAGCCATTATGAATAATAAAGAATTTATAAATGAATGCAATTGTCTTAATAACGGTGATTTT